AGCACCATGGACAGAGTCTATGTGATGTTATATAAACCAGCACCATGGACAGAGTCTATGTGAAGTTATATCAACGGGTAGTTAAGATGTTTATGGTGTTTTGACCCAACGTGTTTATTGGTTCAGATTCATATGGTTATTGGGCTAAATTGTGCTTGTTGGTTCTTCTTTCCTTGAATCTAGGTTCATCATAGATCAATCTGCCAATATTCTCTTTATTAATTGATTGTTTAGTGAAATGTTAGAAAATAATGACATTTCCAATTCCTCAGAGCCCAAGTTCATGTCTCCATTGTGCTTGTCTTGTGCTACAGTACTCAGTGAAGTAACAATTTGTGGCACTTTACTTGAATACTTTAAACTTCTACTAAACTACAACTCAGAGGTAAATATTGTGCTTTTTACGCCACTATATGTATTCCACAGATTCATGTTGATAACATGAAATAATTCAACAAATAAAATATGAATTATTAAGACAAGAGAAGATATGATTGGTCCCTGGGGACGATGGACAAGTTACTGTTTCATTGGAAGGATGAACACATGAATGCATCAATAATCATAATACAATAATACAACATATATCATTCTGCATAGTGAGTACTTTTACCTTTGGTACTTTCTTTTGATTCTAATACTTTTGCACTGTTACTAGAATTGAATGCAGGACTTTAATATCTACACGGTGGTAGTACTACTTGTATTACTACTATATCTGTGTACTTCTACCACCACTCAGTGAGTCACCAGACAAAGGATTGTTACATCAATGGAATATTATAAATGAATCGATGTTCAATCAGCGTTTGAAGAGCAGCTCTTTGAACTATTTTATGTTTTCATAAAGTATTTTCTAACTAAAGCTGTCAGATAAATGTAGTAGAGTAAAAAGTATAAATGCAAAGTACAAGTACTAGTATAGTTACACGCAGGACACTTGAGTGAATCCTATTAACTCTGTTCAGGATCAATAACCTGCAGGCGTGTCTCTCCCGGTCCTCCCGTCGGATGAATGCTCCCTCAGCTCTTTCATCTCACACCGGTTCGGTCACGCTCACAGTGGATCAGCTGTGGGCGGCCGAGCACGTGCGTGACTCTCCCAAAGTGAAGTCATGATGCGATTCACCGGACCACTGGCTCCGGCTCTCCGCTCAGGTTCGGTGCTGATGAGGCATCAAGCCGAACTAACCTGCGTTTTCACTGGAATGAACCCAAACAACCTGCACAGCTCAGCAGAACACCACCTCTGAGTCCGGAGACCTTCTGTCACAGCCTCGAGACGCTCATGAATAAATCATGTTCTAATAACACTCCTAAAATATCCACATACTTTATGTGAGCAGTGTTCACAGGGTAACACAGATTGTACTTTTGGGCGTTAACCGTGTCAACATCACAGGATCATAAGGTGTACAAGTACAAGTACTTAGAAGTACTCTGCCACCAGTTATCTTACAGCTTTAGTTACTAAGTATTAGGATTAATACATCAGTCACGTTTTTACGGTGTTGTATCGGTACTTTTATTTTCATTCATTGATGTTTTTCATTGTATTCATCTCATGAGTGTTTTAGACCTTCTTCGTCCCTTTACTTGTACTATAAAAATTGGAGCTCTTATTTTGAAGGTGTAATGCCGGAAACAGTCACAGGTGGATTGTTAGCATGGTGACATGTCTCTTCAAAACATTTCTAATATTAGTGTGTGTTTATCACCTGGAGGATGAAGGTAAAGCTTTATTTATCATTGTATTTAATATGAAGAGATATTAAAGCGTCTCTTTACTGTTTTAATGTAGCAAGAATGCTACATTAGCTTTTTAGCACCTGTGGTTTCTGCTAGCAGCTAACTTCCGGTCGCTAACTTTTAGCAATCTGGGTCTAAACAAGTTAAGTATAGTATTTTATTAATAGTAGAATAGTATTCTGAAGTAATGTGGAATATAAACAAGTATATGTACTGACGTTCAAACTTCAGGTACTTATGCTTTATACTGTACTACATCTCAGAGGTACATGTTGTACTACATCTCAGAGGTACA